TACAATTTCTCTTAAGCGAAAGTGAAAAACCATATTATGATTATGGGAAATAGGGAAAAAAAAGATCTATGAAATCCATCACTATCTTGAGGTTAATGAAGGAAGGCAATAAAGCAAGTGCACGGTTAAGTACAATTGGGAAGAAAGAAAGTTGATTTTCTATACAAGTTTGAGAAATGAGTTATGGTACAATAGGAAAAGACACTTTAATGGATCATATAAAGGAGCTATTTAAATATAAGAATTGGGCGAGCTACTAATTAAACATAATTAATCAATATCCAAGCACTAAAAGTTTTTCATTAATTTGCAAAACTTGATCCTATGGTCATAAATCAACACATAAAAAGTAGTAGAGGTCCATATAGTTAAGCAAAATGACCTACAGTGAAAATCTTTTGTCTTAACGTATACAGTAGATCTTCTGTTTTGGCCCATTAAGGAAGAAGTGGGGAAATAAAAAATGATAAAAAAAATCACAACTTCCTCAAAGGAGAGCTATGCCACGTGTTAAGAATTTGGGGTGATACAATAAACTCCCATGTTTTCTTATTCTTATATATATATATATATATATATAATAGATAGAAAACCCATTGGGTTCAGAAAGTATAACATAAGCGTCAGACTTGTTTGGTTTGGCATGAACAAAGGGACAAAAAAAAATGATCTGCAAGGGGTAAGAAATATTAGAGTGATACCACTTGTCAAGTTTTTAGGAAATCATGTGGCAAGAATGGAGGCAAACAACTAAACCCCCTTTTTTCTTATATATAAGATATATAAAATAGATAGAAAACCCACTGGGTTCAGAAAGGATAACATAAGCGTCATACTTGTTTGGTTTGGCATGAACAAAGGGACAAAAAAAAAATGATATGCAATGGATAAGAAATATTAGAGTCATGCCACTTGTCAAGCTATTAGGAAATCATGTGGCAAGAAAGGAGGCAAACAACTAAACCCCCTTTTTTCTTGTATACAAGATAGATGTGTGTGTGTGTATATGTATACTAGTTGAGATTGATTGTGCAGTGCCTACCCAAAACCTTTCAATTGCAATCATAATTTTGGAAAAATAAATGAATTGTTCGTACCTATTTATTTTAATATGTAGTCTTTGTTTAATTTTTGAGCTAACAATCATCAAAATGTTTCTTTTTTATTTTTCTTCTGTACCTATATATAGTTGGATAATTGCAGACAACTTTAGTATTTCTAACTAACAATTATGAAAATCAACCAACGTCCAAGCAAGATAAAGTAGTAAGAAAGACCAACAGGGAAAAAGTAAGTTAAATAGCCCACCAAGATTTCCTTCAATTTAATCATTAAACTTAATAGTCAAAAGTGTTGGAAACATATATAATGATACTTGTTAAAGCTTGTACCTCATTTTTCAGTTATGGTCCAACTGTTTGCAAGAAAGTTATCAAATTATAGCTGATTAACTGATAAGGAACTCCACCGAAAATAACTGCCTAAGTAACATTTAATCAAGCAATAAAGGCAAGTTTTTAGTAGCATGATAAACCTGGCTAAAAGCAATTAGAAAACTCAATGTGGCCGAAACTAACCTAAATTCTACAAAATAGAGGCATCAGACATTTCAGAAAACATTCTCTTAGCACGCTAACAAACGGGTGAATAAGTATAGTAACAAAAAACAATGCAAATAAAATCTTACGAAGCAAGAAAAGGATGAGGAACTTCAGAGCTATTCATTTCTATTCTATGGAAATGAGAAGGAAGAAAAGTAAGAAAAGCTTTTAAGCTTAATCTAGTTTATAGGTTTCCTATTATAAAGATTTACATCTAAAAAAAGAGTCAATGATAAGTAAATTAACCCATTGCTTTGTGTTCTAATATAATGGTGGAGGTATGATAAAAGCACAGCTAATAGTTGATCAAATGGCAAGTATTTTTAAAAAGTACAATCTAACTTCAAGGGAAAAAGCAAACATTCAATCACATTAGGTAATTCAAGGTAGTAGAACAGTAAAACATGATCAGTATTATCATCCTATGCAAAAAGAAAAGAAAATCCAAGGACAACGTTTGCAAAGTGATGGTCAAAGGTTTTAAACTTTAGCAAAGTCCACCATAAAGCTGTGTGTTAACTTTACAATCGAATGGTAACTAAGAACATAACAGGTGATCAATGAAAATCCACCAATAAAGAAAAATTAATTTTATAAAACAAAAAGAAAAATAAAAGGGTTCTTTTTCTTTTATACATTTTTTTCAACACTAAAATATACTTTTATTAGATTTTTTTCTCAAAGACAGAATATAGTTGTAGTTACTCTCTAAATAAATAAGGTTGCATTTATAATTTTAATTTTATACTATACACAAATGATAAATAAAGCTACGTTTACATTAAGACTCACTAATTTTTTCTTTGATCATGAGAGCGTAAAATGAATTTTGTTTAATGTGCCTTTTCTCTCATCGCAAAAATATAAATTTTAACGGTTTCTTTAACACTGGATTTATGATCGTAGTTGTTAGCCCTTCGCTTCAATCCAATTATAATACTATGAAATAAATTATCTTAATGTAGGATCTATTCTATGATTACAAAGATATAATTTCCCGGTGTTTCTTTTTTCTCTAAGGGTCCGTTTGTTTCGGGTGAAAATGTTTTCCAGGAAAATATTTTCCTAATTTCTCGTGTTTGGTTGCATAAAAGTTACTGAAAACATTTTCCTATGTAAAATATTTTCAATCATCTTATGGAAAACAACTTCCCTTCCAAACTTACTGAAGTTGTTTTCCGAAATGCATGCATCCTGCCTGTAGTATGTTCCAAACTTATTGAAAACATCTTGTAGTATGTTCTTTTTTTTTTTTTTAGTGTAAACAGGAGAACTTGAACCCAAAACCTCTTCTTTACACTCCCTCCCCCGTACCACCCAACCCAACCCAACCCTCCTCCTAGTATATTCAAAATAAAAAAAAAACCTCATCCTGCTTATCCTATGCTAGTAATTAATTATGTATAATAAAGACATTCTTTTCTAGAGAAACTTTCAGCAGTGAGAGTGCAAGATATATATCACAATAAGCATTGCATGTGATTTATATTTGACACTAAATGGCCAGTAATTTGTTTATTATTTAAGGAGATATTTTTTATTCATATATAAATTTCTCCAAGATTTTTTAAAGTTAAACAATGAGATAAATTTTTTTATTTTGCATGGGAAGAAGTATGTAGTTATAATGTGTAGAAAGTAAAGATAGAAATAAAAGTGAAAATATTTCAAAAGTTAAACAAACACCAGAAAAATGAAGTAAGAAAATATTTTCAATAAACTAACCAAACACCTGAAAATGACGAAAGGAAAATGATTTTCATGGAAAATTACTTCCACGGAAAATATTTTCCCAAGGAAAACATTTTACTTCCAACCAAACAGATCCTAAATCTCAAACAACAAAAAATCTACAAAAGTAAAAAAACTAAAGCACAAATTCTCACAATGATACCCTCATATTTCTTTTTAAATAAATAACCTTGCATTTACATTTAGAGTTGCTAGGCTCCGTATTTAATTTCAATGCTCTACACTTATTATATAAATAAATTTCATCCATTTATTTATATGCACAAACCAATACACAAACCGGAAAAACAATAAATTAGTGCTACGATTTGTCGGATTTACTGTTCTTTTTTCCTTCATAGCATTTGGTTAGGCTGTCTTTTCTGTCATCATACTTCATATCACATGATTATTCCATGACCCAAAATTTACAACCCACTTGAATTCCTACAAAAAGAGAACAAAGATTAAGTAGCAAAAGAAATGCAAGCTTGAACTCCTAAAGCACCACGTGGCGGGAATTTGGGTAGCTACAGTAAGTTCTCATATTATTTTTAGATATATAGTCAAGGGAGGGGAAAAACAAAGAAGAAAAAGGAAAGTAAGGTTAAGCGAAGCAGACTTGTGAGGGGAAACAAAAATGCGTATGAAAGCAATCAGTTAACATGACCCCCGTCATCTACCTTGGGGTGCTGCCCATGGATGATATAGAAAACCATTGAGACAAAAAGAAAACAAGCGAGAGAGAGAGAGAGTGAGAGGTGGTAAATATAGTAGTTTAGGTAAAAAGTATGTTTCCAAAAGCAAAGAAATAGTTCTTACCAATTGGTTCAAGACGAAAGTATAGGTTTGTGCAAAAGGTGACGCTGGCAGGTGGAGTTGGTGTGACCCGATCATCTAATTGAGAGTAATTATGCATATACAGTTTCTTGATTTTGATGAACAAGAAACTATTTTGGTTACAAAAAGTCAAAAACAAGTATTTAGCTCAATCGAATTGCACTGTGTATAAACTAGTCTACGGCCACCAATGAAAGTAGAAATTGGCTCGAAGAAATCCTGTTGTCAAGACTTGATCGATTTGTACCCCAGGTATCAAAGAACTACACCAGACAGCCAAGAAAGTTGATTGCAAAAGGAACTTAAAATTGTTTTTTTCAGTAGTAATCACCTAAACAAATCAAGTTTTGGGCCGAAACACTCCAGCAAATTATGCCCCACTCTTTGGAATTTGGATATTCATAACAATACTACTATTACTATAAGAGTTCGTCCTATTTTGGTTTTTGTATCAAGTAATCTTGTTCATGTTTGTCAGAGTCTCCTTTTCATAAGTGAACTTAGGTAAGAAATTAGACGATAATACACGCATTTTTTTTTGGCTAAAGTTTCTAAATGCAAGCGAACTAATTTCATCAATTCCCACCAACCAGTTGCCTTGAAAGATACGTCAGCTAATGGATGCCTAGAATGGAACTACATTTCATTTCTACATTTCTCTAGTTTAACTGCCAATTAGTACTTAGTGACGAATTGTTCTCCTCAAATGGCCATTTCTAATTATGTCTGACATGTAATTAGTCCTGTTCTCAAGTGGGATTGTCTTCAGTTAATTACTTTCCAAAGTTCGTAGCAATTGTTGAAAATCTCTACATAGCTTTGGCAATCATGTCGAAAGAAGAAAAGAAAGAGAAAGAGAAAGTGAAAGTGAAAGAGAAAGAGATTGAAGTGATTACTGCAGTTTACAAAATTAATCTGCATTGTCCCAAGTGTGCTCATGATATCCGGAGACCCCTCTTGAGGATCCCAGGTATGAATAGCATATCCATTTGTAAATTCAGTATATAGGAAAACTGTAGATCTTGCTTATCCACACAAAAAAGGAAATGAAAATGTTGCTTTATTCTAAATAAGAGAAATCTAATCTGCAAGAAACTGATTGAAAAATGTAAAAACAAAATTTTATTGTTACTAATCCACAGGTGCATGCTATAATTTCATTAATTTTCAGATGGCATGTGTATACATTTCTTTATTTGATGATCGCCCTGGCAACATTCTAAGGTGTTACTGGGATGGATTCAAATTTTGGTTGGGATGTCCAAAAGAATCTTCTGGCTAGAAAAGACGGAATTGGTTTTTCATAGGCAGTAAATCGAAGATGGTTTCAAGAACTGTGGCTTAATTTAAAAAAATTTTTTTTTTTTGTAATAATATGTCATCCTAGATAGCCAAAACTTTTGATTTTGTTCTTTCTTTTTGGATTTTATCTTCTTTTATTTCTTTTCCATTTATCTTCAGCAACTATTGGAGGCATCTGTGTAATATCATCACTTTATGCTGGTGCTCCCAGGTGTTCACAGCGCAGACATAAAACATGAGAAGAATGAGGTGACAATAAAAGGAGCCATCGTAGCAAAGAAGATGCATGAAAGGCTACAAAAATGGAGCAAGAAGAAAGTTGAGCTAATATCCGAAACCAAGGTCAAGGAAGCAGAAAAAGGAGCAAAAGAAACCAAAAAGGTAATATCGATCGCTTATTCAAGTATTTATACATATCAAACGTCAAACCATTCCTTAAAATGACAAAGCATCCTACTTGAACAGACTGCTAAATGAAGACAATATCAAACATCATAAATTGTTATAGCCTTTAATCGAAAATTTTGTTCTTGACCTGTTATTACAGGAGCACCCAAAGATCTATTTACTTAGAGAGGTGTAATAAAGTTATAAGAAATGACATCCACCATTTTCAGCACATTATTCAAATTCCACACCGTACTTTCTCCAATTTCACAGTCGTAAATTAGCGAGTAATTAGTCGTTGACAAGCATGAGATGCTCCCAAATTTAGAGATGATCTCAGACCAAAACTTCATAAAAGAAAAAATTAGTAGTCAAATTGCACATTCCTTTGTTATCCTGACAAATTTTCTCAAAGATCTCTCGTGGGTTATTGATTTTCATGTATTGAAAGGTAAGATAGAAACAGCAATGTTGCTGTTTTACCATCTAGTGTTTATATCACTGTGGATCATGTTTACTAATTTTGCTTTCATTTTTTTGTGAAGGAAACTATCAAGACAATATTAATAAAGTCTTACATGCATTGTGCCGAATGTGAGCGTGAAATAAGAAAGCGATTACTAAAGCACAAAGGTATTAACATATTTTTATGAAACTTTTTATGGGATTATTAATTACTTTATTTTTTCAATGTTTTCTGGTTCTGAAATATGAAGCTGACATACTGCTAATGCAGGCATTCATAATGTCAAAACAGACATTAAAGCTCAAACCATATCTATTGAAGGAGTCATTGAGTCAGAAAAACTCCTTACGTACATGCGGAAAAAAGTCCACAAATATGCAGAGATTATTCCTCCAAAAGCGAAAGAGAAAGAAAAAGAGAAAAAGGACGAAAAGAAAGAAAAAGAAAAAATTGAAGTAAAAATTGTTGAGTTTAAAGAAGTAGAGAAAGTAGCAGCAAAAACTAAGGAAGGCGACACTCCGTATTTTGTTCATTACGTATACGCCCCTCAATTGTTTAGTGATGAAAATCCTAACGCTTGCTCCATAATGTAGCTTATTCTGTAATGTAGCTGAACTTAAATTGGTTAGGGAGGATGGTCATCTTCACAACTTTATTGTGTGGAAATTAAGGCCATGCTACACCAAAGATAAGGGACGAAATTTGTTTTGGTGCCATTTTGATAGTTTGTCCTGGTAGGTATGTAGTATATCCTTAGTCATAAATCACATAGATTTGGCCATCTTTTAATACAGAAGAAGCCAATCCAATGCTTTATATAGTAGGATTTCTCACCAAATCTTGATCATTAAAATGATCCAAAAAATATGTATATCATAGTATTTTGTTAAAAAATTACATTTGAACTTTGAAAAAATTGCTTTTCCAAGTCAGAATATCTGCCAACAAAATGAGGCCTTATTGAAAATGTACACACATAGGATGGTTATTGGTGATTATGTCAACAATTAACTAGTGAAACAGATTCTAAGATCTCATCTGTGGAAGTTGTTCCTTTTCATTGTCTTTATTTTTTTGAGATAATTTAATATTGTCATGGATTCATCAGCCAAAAAATAGGTTTAAACAAATCAAGTATGTCAATTTACAGTACCACTTTTTGTGTCAAGTACATCACGATTTTGTGTTAATACTTGATGCTGAGGATTATCATGAAAAGAAAGAAACTGTAATTGATTATGGACCAAATCAAGAAATACATCTATGCAAGAAAGTGATTATGCATAGGCATTTATTTAAGGTCCCTTAATTTGTATCGTTACATCGATTCAAGCTATGGTTTAATCAAAGGTGGGCATTTCTTTTTTGAGAGATTCAATTCTTGCAGAGATTTATTGTCTTTGCTGTTTGAGCACATTCATCATTTCAGCGAATTCCGTTTGGCCAAAATCTATATTCAAGGCTTTGGCCTGCCAAAATATGATAAAGGATTGCTAATGGTTTATTCCATTAGCTTCTTGAGTTGTACTACCAAAGAACAATTTCAATGGCCCATGATTTTTTGTAATTTAATGAATCTCCATTTAGAGAAAAAAAATCAAATGTAATTCGGAGTAATTTTGGAGAGGTTCATTGGTATATATATTGACAACACAAATATCTTCTCACCGAGGAATCGAGTTGATGATTGAAAATTCTAATTTCATTTTTAACATTCTTTTTAAATGTTTATCAAAACACTTTCCTTGGGATGGGATGGACGTGATGGACTTGTGGTTGATAATTTATGTGTTGAAAAATATTTAATTTGCAGTAGTTTCAGTTACAATTAGATTTTCAGTCTAATTAACAAATACTTTTTTATATTTGACTGAAATACGTTTTTTGGTCACCTCTTTAATCTAGAGAAAATGACGGTGAATTCGGTTGTGATTTTAATTGCATCTTTAGCTTTTGTTATCATTGGGTAGCATCAACTTCAGTAGACATATATTGGTATTCCTTTCCTTGTTTTGGAGGGGAGAAAAAAGAAATAGTTAGAGTTTCTTGGGCGATAAAAAGAATTCTAAAAGTTGCAAGTGCTTAAAAATTCATATTTCTATGGGTTAAAAATAGTATACCTAATCCATAGAAAAGTCTCATATAATTTCAAAATATACAAAACGACACCTCATATTTTGAACTAAATTGTAAACTAACAGAATTCGTTAAACTTATGACAGGTTGTCAGCCTGTGCAATGATAAAAACCCGTTCAACTAAAGTTAATTTCTGTAGATAGTGGTAAGCAGGGTCGAATCCACAGGGACTGGGAGTAATTGTTTCTTTTCAAATTCACAGTGACAAGGGGGTGTTTTTATATCAGGGGTGATAATCTAAGCAATTCAACTAAAAGTAAAATAATAAAAATAAAATAGCCAACTAGAAATTAAATAACAATTTACTAAAATCAAACGAGTGATAATTAAGGATCTAGTCAAAGAATAACTTTAGCAATGGTTCACTTAATTGATCATCGATGCACAAGCCATTCCAATTATTTATTGATAAATAGGTTATAACTGCTAAACAAGCGATGACAGTCAACCCCTTCTTACTGTGTCGGTGATTAAGGTACACCCGTTAATCATTGCTCTAATTGAGAAACAATTCTAGGTACGTCCATAGAATTTAATTCCCCAATTGCCTTACGTATTAGAGGAGCCCTATTCTAACCAAATAATACACTACCAGGGTTATTTCAGATTAGCCCGCGTATCTCCCTGACATGAGTCTAATCGTGCCAATTGTCACTATTTCAAGGCAATTAAACAATTACGGATTTAACGCCCCAATTAACAATAGATTACCAAATTAACTAATTATTCGGATCCAAGACAATCAATTAATTAAATAACCATAAGCATAGCAATCAAGGAATATGCGAATACCAATAATTAAAAGAAAAAGATTAAAATTAAATCGATCTCACAATTTTAGGCTAGCCAAAGCATCCGTTGTTCCTTGACTAGAAAAAGGGGTTTAACTCATTATTGATAAGGAAAACCCATGCAAAATCGGAGCATTAGTCGCGGCCATAGTCTAGAAATTAGGAAACTCAATTCGTTCGAAGTAGTGATGCAAAGAAAGAAAAGAAATTACTAAGAAACAAAGAAAAGTCAAAGAGCAAAAAGCAAAGAAAAAGAAATCGTCCAATGCATTCACCAAGGAGACTACCACTACTAAGAGTCTCCACTAAAGACGAAAAAGAAAAGTTCAAAGCTAAAAACTAAAGATAGTCATTGTTCTCTGCACAATTTTCCATCTAATTGCCTACTGCTGCTGTGCGGCGTCCGCCGCACGAGAGGAAAAAAACTGCCGAGGTTTGCTTTCTTTTCCCTTTTTCTAGTTGCTGTTTTCGGTCAAAATTATCAAAAAGGTCTTGCATCTCCTTGTTCCAAGAATGCCCTTGATTGTCTGCTATTTGAACTCTTTCCCGATGACTGTTAAATTGGCCTTGATTGTGATATTTTTGTTCTACTCCCTGAAATAAATGCAAATTACGAAAAGTGAGTAGAATTTAATAATTAATTCACATCGGGTTAGGTAATAGAGGAAATTAATAATAAAATAAATGATAAAATTGCAACATATCAATTTTTCCCACACCTAAACCATGCTTGTCCTCAAGCATAAGAATAACAAACAAACAAACACCAATATTTGACAAAGACTATTGCCCTATCCACCATATTCCCAAAATATCAAGGAAAAAATATATGTCAAGCATCAGTGATCGAGATCCAAGAAACATCACTCCGATTAGCTTCTAAACCACAAATTCCTCCAATTTCAGGTTAACTAATTTAAGAAAAAGGAATGATGCGCAACATTTATCAGCAAATGGTCCAACTATTAACCCAAAATCTCAACATTAAATCTATAAATCGGCAAGCTGACTTTTATTATACACTAACACAACTTTCACTTTTCAATTACATATTTCTACTTTTCTCCTTTTTTTTTTCTTTTTTCTGTTTTTTTTTCAATAATAACAAAAGACTTAGTCGCTGGCCATGTGAGTCTTTTGACGCGAACTCTGACATTTGTTAGATGAAAGGGCCCAGTTACTCGGTTTCTATCGTCACGTGACCACGTACTCATAGCAATTACTATTTTTTGACGCGAGAATCGATACTTTTGATGAAAATCCCCGGTTACTCGGTGGTAAAGACTAGCGGAGTACAGTCAACTCTTAATCACAACCAAATAACACAAAAACTCAAAATAACACAAAAAATCAAAAGGGAATTTATATCAGCTAGCCTCATTTTCAAACATGAAGAACTGAAATTAATAATCGGACCAATTCACATGAAAATGCCAACAATCATTCCCTATGCCCAGGAAAGTTAACCAGAAATTACAAAAGTCACACAGCCTTCAATATTCACTATAGAGATGTTTTTGGACTCAATCACATTAACTTGATACACTTTTATTATTAAAATTTGGCAATAGCAGAAATAGAGTTAACAAATCAACATCAAGTCTTGGCATGCACTTACGAGCCAATCACTAAAAAGAAAGAAAGAAAATGAATGAAAGGTAGACAAATGACAAACTAAGAATAAAGAAGAAAAAAAATCTAAAAACTCAAAACTAAAGGCACTAGCACCATAACTGCTCGCATTCCCCCCCGCACCTAAATCCTACATTGTCCTCAATGGAGGTCATAAAGCAGAGAAGCAAACAGGATAACGAAACTTCCCTGAATACGTGGTGAAAGGTCTCGAGCTGCTATGGAATAGATGGGAACGGTGGAGTGAAAATGGTGCTACGGTGGATTGCAAAGAGAAGGAGAGCTCCGGCGTACGTCTCAGTCCAAGCGACAGTGGTGGCAATGAGCGGGTCCTAGACCTAGAAGATGATCTGGGTTTCACCATGGTCACCACTGAACAACCAACTCAATAAACAAAATAGAAATTCCAAAATCCAATAGAATGCAACAGAGAACTAGAATTTCACTGAATAAATGAGTCAACAAAGCCAATAAAACCAGCAATCACTTGACAGTGATAATATCGCCCAAGTTAACAATGAAACATGCATTTTATCTAACCATCAAACCAGCAAATCCCCAGACAATGCAGCAGTTTCAATCAATGGCAAAGGACGTCAAACCATGTGCTTGAACGCAATCAATTCCAATGAATATGCCAATCAAACAAACAAGGAACGGTAATAGTGTCTAAACAAATCAACGAACCTCAACAAATGAACTCAATTCTACCCAAAATTACAACAAATGTCCCCAAGAATGCAGCAAGTCCGGTAATAGCGGGTCAGAATTTAGGCAATAACAACTCAGTCACAAGTTCTGAGCTTTCAATCAGGCAGCCAACCAAAGAAAATGAATAAATGTTAGGCAAACTATCACAACCAGTACCACTGGTTGACGCACAGGTAAGAAACAATTCAAACATGCAATCCAAACGACTGAGACATCCCAACCAACACCACCAGAAATTAGAAGAAGCCAAATTGGGAATCAATTTGCAAAGAACTCCCAAATCAACCCCAACTAACTCCCAAATAAATTAACTATCAGAGATGCTCCCAAATACCCGCCCCAAAGATGCAATAGAAACCCCCAAACAATTCAATATGGGAAAGAGAAAATCAAGCAAGGCACCTCCTACTATTAACCATCAAGAAACCAAGGAAAAAGACACAAATTCCAGCAATTTAGGATCCAGAAAAGTACTAATCGAGGAAGAAAACTTCAATACCTCCACCTGTCCAAAATTGACAGGTGGTGACGGCGCAGCAACGGGAAAGCGGAGAGATGGCAGGTGAGGCGCGCGGAAGCTACGTCGGCTGGCCGCGGACGGTGGAAGGCGGCGGCGGCTGCTGGAGTTGCGGGCCTTTGTGAGGAAGAGGAAGATTGGGGGGAGCAGCTCGAGGTGGCGCGCGATTGGTCGGCGGTGTGCTGGCTGCGGTCAGTGAGATCGATAGAGGAGCGAGAGAGAGGAGCGATGGTGAAGGGTTGTGGGGTCGCGCGCGGCAGTAGGGACGTAGCGGCGTGCGAGGAGGAAAGAAAGAAAGGGCGAACAGGGGTAGCGGGAAGGAGGAGGGAAGAAAAGAGGAAGAAAGAAGAAAAAAAGAAAGAAAGAAAAAGAAAGAAAAGAAAGAAGAGGGAAGAAAGAAAAAGAAAAAGGAAATAGTTTTTTTTTTCATTTTATGTTTTTTTCTCTTTTTAGAAGAAATTTTTTTTTGGTTAATTACTAAAAAAAAGGTTTTTTTTTTTGGAAATTTTTTTTTGTTTTTGAAGATTTTTTTTGTTTTTTTTATATATAACTTTTTTTTTTATGGACAAAATTTATTTTTGAAATTCAAAAGTAGAAATTAACAGGAAATCAATAATCATTCTTGAGTTTTTTTTTTTGAATACTTACCTTTCCCGCTAACGTGACGCGGGCACGTTATGAGGGCAAGAACCCCTTCTGACGATTCTGACCATGAGCTCTCCATACGTCATGACGCGGGCGTGTCATGAGGGCAGGAACCCTACAAATCATCAAAAATGAAAATTGAAGCCATAAATCAGTCAAATCCAAGGAAAAATATATTTAAACTAATGAGCAAAAATGAACAAATAACTAAAAGAAATTGGGTTGCCTCCTAATGAGCGCCTTTTTTTAATGTCTTTGGCTAGACATTATCATGTTTGTTCAAGGAGGATAAAATCTTGTGACTCGTTTTAATGTTTCATCCTGTATATAGTCCTGATAGCTCTCGTAAATAGAATAATTCTTGACCACACGAGTTACGGACTTCCATGGACTAGTTGATGGCGCCAAATAATCAAGCAGTGATCTCCATTCTTTATCCACTCCTCCATCAAGAGCATTCAACGGTTCAAGATATTTGACCATAGCTACTCTTAACTCATTTCTGCAATGAGACTCAAGCACTTCCGGTATAACAAAATCAATCTCATTAACAGAAGTTATAGAGTAAGAGTCAGGGGAATATAGATTAAGGGATGGAGTGGGTAGCATCGCATTTAGTAATTGCTCACTGGATTCGTTCACTAGGGTAATTTGATGTTGGAGTCTCATGTCTTTCACTTCAGCTTCCTTTTCAACTGCATCTTTAGATTCTCCTTCTTGAGACTCTTGCAGTTCCATATCACTTGTCAGGATAATTGCACTCTCACCTTCCTTAGAGTCATTGATGGTCTGTGAGGGCAATTCTGACATGAATGACGATTGTTGATACTCTTGCTGTTGAAAACTCATTGGCCCCTTTTCATAATTAACGTTGGAATTATCCCACCATCCTTGATCATACCGATTTGAATAAGGGTCATACCACGTTTGAGATCGAGGTGAGAAATCTCCAAATTTTTTTTTTTGAGATAGTTACTCAGATAGTCTTGATATTCGGGGCACATACCGGTTGAATGATCCCTGGAATAACAAATTTCACAGGTTGCAGCAGCCATTCTTTCTCTAAGAGAGTTTAGTGCCTCTGAATATGCAAACTTAGAAAAAAAAATATAAGTCTCATTGCCTTCCCCGGAAACAAAATCCAGTATATCACCAAAATACGGAGTGTTAGAAGCCATAAACTATATAAAAAAAATAAGAGAAAAATAAATAAAAAAATGTAAACAAGATGAATTCAAAAAAAAACAAATAACTAGTGCCAGTCTCTGGCAACGGTGCCAAAAATTGACAGGTTGTCAGCCTGTGCAATAATAAAAATCTGCTCAACTAAAATTAATTTCTGTAGATAGTGGTAAGTAGGGTCGAATCTACAGGGATTGGGAGTAATTGTTTCTTTTCAAATTCACAGTAACAAGGGGGTGTTTTTATATCAGGGGTGACAATCTAAGCAATTCAACTAAAAGTAAAATAATAAAAATAAAATAGCCAATTAGAAATTAAATAACAATTTATTAAAATCAAACGAGTGATAATTAAGGATCTGCCCAAGGAATAACTTCAGCAATGGTTCACCTAATTGATCATCGATGCACAAGCAATTCTAATTATTTATTGATAAATAGGTTATAACTGCTAAACAAGCGATGACAGTCAACCCCTTCTTACTGTGTCGGTGATTAAGGTACGCCCGTTAATCACTGCTCTAATTGAGAAACAATTCTAGATACGCCCATAGAATTTAATTCTCCAATTGTCTTACGTATTAGAGGAGCCCTACTCTAACCAAATAACGCACTACCAGGGTTATTTCAGATTAACCCGCGTATCCCTCTGACACGAGTCTAATCGTGCCAGTTGTCACTATTTCAAGGCAATTAAACAATTACGGATTTAACGCCCCAATTAACAATAGATTACCAAATTAACTAATTATCCGGATCCAAGACAATCAATTAATTAAATAATCATAAGCATAGCAATCAAGAAATATGCGAATACCAATAATTTAAAAAAAAATTAAAGTTAAATCGATCTCATAATTTTAGGCGAGTCAAAGCATCCGTTGTTCCTTGACTAGGAAAAGGGGTTTAGCTCATTATTGATAAGGAAAACCCATGCAAAATCGGAGCATCAGTCGCGACCATAGTCTAGAAATTAGGAAACTCAATTCGTTCGAAGTAGTGATGCGAAGAAGGAAAAGAAATTACTAAGAAACAAAGAAAAGTCAAAGAACAAAAAGCAAAGAAAAAGAAATCGTCCAATGCATTCACCAAGGAGACTACCACTACTAAGAGTCTCCACTAAAGACGAAAAAGAAAAGTTCAAAGCTAAAAACTAAAGGTAGTCATTGTTCTCTGCACAATTTTCCATCTAATTGCCTACTGCTGCTGTGCGGCGTCCGCCGCACGAGAGGAAAAAAACTGCTGAGGTTTGCTTTCTTTTCCCTTTTTCTAGTTGCTGTTTTCGATCAAAATTACTAAAAAGGTTTTGCATCTCCTTGTTCCAAGAATGTCCTTGATTGCCTGCTATTTGAACTCTTTCCCGATGACTGTTAAATTGGCCTTGATTGTGATATTTTTGTTCTACTCCCTGAAATAAATGCAAATTACGAAAAGTGAGTAAAATCTAATAATTAATTCACATCGGGTTAGGTAATAGAGGAAATTAATAATAAAATAAATGATAAAATTGCAACATATCAACTTAATGGAATCCGGTAAACTTAGCGAAAAATTTAACAGAATCCAGTAAATTTAACGACAAACTAAATGGAATTCGGTAAGTTTAACGGCCGAAACCGTCATTTTCATTAAATTTAACAAATTTTGTTAGTTTACAATTTAGTTCAAAATATGAGATGTCGTTTTGTATGTTTTGAAATTATGGGGAACTTTTCTGTGTATTAAATATACTACATGGATTTTTTTTGTTTTTAACCCTATTTCCATTTGCTTACTACTTGCACGAGTTTAGTTAATTTGTACCCATACGTACGTATAATTGATTTAACGTGGTATATCAATTATGTGATAAACACAGAAAGTTAGCCTTAATACAACCACCGTTAAATATGCTTATGCATCTTGGTGAATATTGATATTAGAATCTAATCCTTCGTAGATTCCAATATCTTCTGTTTAAGTAATTTTATCTAAATGCTGCTAACAAATTTGGTTTGATAAAAGATTTAGAATAACCAATCTATTGGTTATTCCAAGTGATATATAAGTTATAATTAAGAGTCACTCTCTAAAAGATAATATAATATTTATATTAGTTTTTTCACTTTGACATTTAAAAAGGTTGCTTTTCCCACCTATCAATATATATTTTTCATACTTTTAAGTTTTGAATTTGAGGATAGTATTGTAAAATCACCCAAATCCAATTTATCCAAACAAAACCATGATTAGTTGTTCACTCAATTTTTTGGATAGATGAAATATTTTACATAATATTTCGCTTGTATCATAAATACATTTTCCAACTTGCTTTTTTATATTTCTAACTATCTTTTTATCTCACATATATCACATTACATCACATTACAAAAAGTATTACAATAATTATTCTAAATAATATTTCGAATATTACTTTGTCCAGACACATTAAGTCCTCAAATTGTAATATTTCGAATATTACTTTATCCAGACACATTAAGTCCTCAAATTGTAGGACGGAAGGAGTATTTATTAACTAAAAGTATTGCCTTCTAGAAATGAACTACAAAAGAACTTTCCAAAGTGCAATACGAAGAAAACACACAAAAAAGGGTTTGATGATACGAAATCGAAAAGCAATATTGCTGCTTGTTGAATTCAAGCAGCTTGAGAAATAGAGAAACTAACATTACGAAAAAGGACTGCAAAATCTAAAGAATTACATCCAAAATCTAAAGAATATTGTTTGTAGGAGGACCCCCAGCCGTGTTAGTTGGATAGCCAGTTCCCATAGCAGCAGTGTTGGAGGCAAGATTGCCAGTTCCTGTGGCAGCAGCGTTGGAGGCAAGTTTGCTGGTGGTGCCATGACCAGTATATGGACCTTGGCAGTCCTCCCCACAAGTCTGGTGAGGAGTGGAGTAGCCCTCATTGCCCAGGCTAGCACCATAATCAGGATCTATTATAGCATCAGGTGGGAGTTGGTTAGCATTCTTGGTTTGTGAATACTTGGCCTCTTGTTGTGCCACCTTTTCTGCAGCTTTGTTCACATGTAGATCCATTGCAGCTTCTGCCTCCCTTGCCAGTCTTACCTCTTTTGCAACTTGAATTCTTGTTTTAGCCAAATCTACCTCTTCCTGCAATAATTTGATGAAAATTAATGGTTGCACATAACATGAAAATTGTACACACCGATGAACTATACCTTCATTTATTTAATTTTTTTTTGTTTCATCTTTACTTACCTTTTCCTCCTCCTTTGCCTGAGCCTTGGCCTTGCGCATATGACTCATGTCATTCAACTTTTCTTTGATAGTCTGCATGTTTCTAGCCTTCCTATATCCTTCAGTGTTGTTTTATTCAATGATGATTGTTTGTTCATTTACGATTACAACCGAGACTGGTGCCCAGCTTATTATATAGCTAGCGCCACAAACTAGAGATCAAGGACATAGTCAAATAGATCTGATTTGTAGCACAAATGGCTAATTAACATGCCATGACATGCGTAAAACTGTAAACTATGGAGCTTTTATTGGAATACGCTCGCTTTCATTTGAACGATTCTTTTAAATATGAGTGGCTACAAGTAATTAGCTTAGACTTGGCCCTCAGGGGCTTGGTCTGGTGGTTGAGGTTGCTAAAGATGGAGCCTTAGGTCCCTGGTTCGAACCTTGTTGCAGCAAGTTGCTGAGGGTGGTGAATAGTCTGCGGGGTCCACTCCCTGCGGGACACACCTAAAAAAAAAAAAAAAAAAATTAGCTTAGACTTGAATTATTCAATCCTACAAATATATCTGTGGTCAATAAAGAACTAAATTCTAAAGATATATCTGTGGTCAATAGAAAACTATAGATTTGATGAACTCACATGGTATATATATTAACTCTTTGACTAGCTTATATAGTTTGCTATTTCTTTGAAATGTAATATTGGATAAAATTAACCATGTAACTTTTCTCTTATTGTTAAAAAAATATGCATGGATCATGAAGAGCTAATCGAATTGTTCTCTCGATCCTATTTGATCAAGGATCGAGTCTTGATTGAACAATAACAATGTTGTTATCTTCATAAATGTTTGTTTTATTTATAGATTTCTCTAGGTTTCATGTTTTTCTTCTTCTTCTTCTTCTTTTTTTTTTTTTGGGGCCAATTTACCGGAAATATAGATAACTTTGACATTAAACAGATTGAATTTATCTTTCTCCTTTTGAAACTTTAAGTGGGTACATATATGAATTTGCTGATATTCAGTACTGTATCAGTTATAACTGAAAATTATTTACCGTGTGTTGTCTTTGATCTTCAAATTTACATTTTCATACTGTTAATTATCTAGGAATTGAAAAGTAAATTTTTAAAGAAAAATTGTGACATATTAAATTTATGCGCCTTTATGAAGAATAATAAGTTACTAAATTTATTTTAAAATAGTGACGTATTAATTTTATGTTAGTCATTTAATATTACAATTTTTTCCCCGTTACGAGGAAGAAAAGACAAGAAGTCATTCACATTTTCTCTCTCTACATTTGACTTTCGTCCTTAATTAATAAGACTTTTCTTGTCATCCATGTGTATACTCTTCTAGCGCTGAAGCATAATTAATTTAAAGATAAGATTATATCTTTAGTGAACATGTATAAATCTAAACAAATATCTATATGCAATATTAATGGCAAAGAGCCACATTCCAACAAAGTATAGTACTAGAACTTTTATGTACTTATACAACAAGAAAATCATTTCTAATTTTATGTGCTATTGATCATTCTAATTCATTTTGTATAACCTAAGGTTTCATTTGAAATCTATCCAAAAGGAAATCAATCAAGTATTTATCATTTTAATTTATACGAAACGACCTAGCATAGGATAATTCTATACTCGTTTGGCTTTTTAATTTCTTGAGAAAAGCTTAATAAAATAAATATTTTAACATTGTTGATAATCATAATATAGACTTAAATTACAATCTAAACTTCTTGCACTAGTGAATTGGCTTTTGTTTTAAAATTTATTTATACTCCTAGTATGTCTTACTTGTTTCTTCTAGAACTTAAAGCAGTATTTTTTTGATACCACACTAATATAATACTTTCATTAGCTTTTTTTTTTTAATACTTTCATTATTTTACAAACTCATAAAAATTTTCATTGCTCTAACTTCTGTTTAAATAATTTATTGATAAAAATAAAAAAAAGGTACATTAACAACACATAATGAGATATTGCAACTTTGATGTTTTTATTTGAATGTTAAGATGCTCAATTCACAACATACCCAATCAACTTTATGAACTATTTGCATGACTTATAAACAACACCAAGCATTCAACAAAATAAAAATAAAATGTACTTTAGAATCCCATTAATTTATTCTAGAAAATGGCAATATATCCTTGGGAATTATTCCTCAAATATTTACTTAAGCAATGATATTAATTAGATGAAAAAAGTGATATCAATTTATGTCTAAACAATGTATTTCCTAGTACAATTGCCAAAGACAACATGTTATAAAACTTGTTATGGGGCTTCTCAAATAAAAAAAAATCTAATTTAGTAGACAATCCTGAAGGATAAGCAAGATATTAAATTCATGTCTATTTTTGTCTTTTTATCTTTTATTATGCTTTTCATAAATAAATAGTATGCCTACAATACTTTTTGTTTATCATTTGGCAAAACAAAATTATGGAACAATATATCAAAATTGTTAATAAACATATAACTCAAATCATATGCAGACATATTCTTATATATAAAACCAACTATTGTTATATTTCTATCAAGAAAAAATGGAGAAAGAAATGTTTTTAGTTGAGGCATTTACTAATTGTTGAGTTATTTGACCAGTAATTGCAAGACCATCTTTAAATTATCAAGCTTTTGAATTATCAAAATTTTTGGATAAATATTCCGCTTAACAACTTGATTCATCATGTTCATGATTTGTGAAATGATACAAAATTACAATTCATAGTAATAATAAAAAAAAGAATACAAAAGCAAGATTTCATTATGGGTAAATATTATGGGTCGTCAAAGAAGACAGCCCTAACTAGCTAGAGTAAATTAAAGTATTTTGTAGCCATGAGGTCCAATTGTTTATAGAAGCATATAGATAGATATATTTGCCATGTATTCAAAAACTTAAGCGAAGAAATATGAACAACAACAAAAAAATGAACCTACCCTAAATTGGGGCAAATTGTGGCTATGAAAACAAGGGCAAGGGTATTTTGCCCTCTTAATCACTGATTATTATATTCATGGCATGAATTGCTACAAGTTCCAAAAAACTTCGGGCCGAGATTCGTCCTTATAGGGATAGTCTGCCCGTTATTGAGAAGAGTTTGCTTTTCAAGATTTCTTACCCTGTAGGGTTGTACAAGATGAAAGCCGATGATGAGACCCCTGGATCTAGTCTGAGGTTAAAAAATAATAATAATAATAATAACATTTTATTATATATTTTTATTGAGTTTTTAACATAAAGGTGTTGCCATCTAGAACTGCTTGTTTTGGACATGGACTATATTCTTCCTTAAACTTGATGATAAATCTTAAGAACTTCAGTTTCCTTACTCAAGAATAGTTAGAAATGAGATTCGATTCCACTTGATACATAGAAAAAAGTAGTTAACTTTACGAACACAAAAAATTACAGTTCTAAGAGTAAGAAAATTGATTTAATTGTGAACTAGAGTAGGGTTGAATAATTTTATTTAATTTTTTTTTTTGGTAAATGGCAATATATGAAGGTTGAGTCTAGATTCTCAGACTATAGGTACTATTATTACTAATCGCCCTACATATATTTGAGCCTCTACATCGATGGTATATTAGTCCTACTTTTAAGTTCTAACAACTACAATTAATTAACAATCAAATGTTGCTTCAAGAAATTATATGGACTTTTTTCCCTCCTTCTAGGTGTAGGTAATTTAATTTGTTTGTCCTAGAGAGCAAAGTCAACAAACTATTGAGATATTTAATGTCGAGCATGCAAATTTTCAACCAATTATTTAATGTCGATAACGTGTAAAAAGATGCATTTTATTGAGATATTTAATGTTGTTTGGATTATTAAATTTCGCCATAATACAAGATTATGTTCAACAATAGATCTAATGCGTGGTACACTTCAAGGTGTAATATTTCAATGAATGTTCCATTTGCAAGATTTACTTATTTTGATTATAAAACGGTAAAATTCGATTGTTCTACACAAAAGAAGATTAAAAGAACTACATTATTATTTAAGCAAATATCATTGATTAATCATGTCAACCACAATGATTCTGAAAGCAACACTAGGAAGACTTTTTTTTTTTTTTTTTTGACACTTGCAAAACATCATACGACCTGAACATAAACTAGGAAAACATCATATGACTTGAACATAGACATCTTTTTTTTTTTTTTTTTTTGATAATTTGAACATAGACATCTTAAGTAACAATTCTTGCTAGACCCAATACTAATATCATTGACTGAAACTTTTTAAGGAGCACGATTGCTAGGTCCAGCACCATTGTTGTTGATGGGTTCAAAGAAAGAGTCATTCCACACAAAATCACTAAGCCAAGGTTGAACATTTAGCATATCCATGTCCACTGCATAGATTTGCAACTCATCCCTATCCATTTCAGGAGCCACCATATGAGCCTTGTTAGCAGACCATGCGGGATTTGGCATCTTACTCATAGGCCTTTCAGGAGCCACCATGGAAGCTTTGTTAGCAGACCATGTGATGTTTTGCATCTCATTCGTTAGCATATCAGGAGTCAACATGGAAGCATTGTTGGTGGACCAAGCCCAATTTTGCATGTCACTCACAAGCATTTCAGGAGCCACCATGGAAGAAATGTTGGTAGACCAGGTAGGACGTTGCATCTCGCTCATAGAGAATTCAGGAGCCAGCATGGAAGAATTGCAGGTGGACCAGGTTGAATTTTGCATTTCAGGGGCCGCAATGGAAGCATTGTTGGTGAACCGGGTTGGATTTTGCATTTCAGGAGCCACCATGGGAGCATCATTGGTGAACCAAGTCGGGTTCTGCATCAAACCCAGAGGCATTTCAGGAACCACCATGGAACCGTTGTTGGAAAACCACTTGAAATTCTCCATCTGATTGCCTACTGCTGAAGTTGTAGTAGTAGCAGGCCATGTGAGATTTTGGATCTCACTGGAAGGCATTTCAGGAGCTACCATGCGAGCATTGGTCAAGAGCCGTGTGAGATTTTGCATATCACCAAATGGCATTACAGGAGCCACCATGGAAGCATTGAGAGAGGGCCATGTGAACTTCCGCATCTCATTCACAGGCAATTCAGGAGCAACCATGCCTTCATCGTTACCTCCGTATCCACCTGTTTCCAGAGGCGCCTTAGGTGCAGATGGTTGAGGCACGGTTTCCTTAAGAACTGATATCCTTCTGGAAACTTCTCTCAGGTTTCGACTGACCATCCACTCCAGCTCATTGAGATCAGCCCAGCGGAGGTTTTGTACCTCCTCACCACGCAAGCACCTGTACATGATGTTGGTGACCTCGTTCTCTCGGATGCCGTTGTGTTTTCTCCTGATTTGCTCGTGAACCTTGTCCACCCTTGATCGGGTGTAGCTTTGTTGGTTCTCCAGCCTCCTGAATCTCTCTGGAAGAGATTTATACCTTTCAAGCAGATCTAGCACAGCAGGTGGGGATGGAGGCCAAGTCTCAGGTTCCTGATCATGAGGGCCATAGATGATGGCACAGGCATCAATGCCACATAGGGTGCTTAACTCCTGCACCTTTTTGATCAAGCCATTCTTTCTCTTTTTGAAGCAGGTTTTTCTTTCGGTTTCATTTCGAATGAAGGCTAACTTAATTTTTTTTCTGGTCATGGTTATTGGCAAGGGAGTGACAGAGCTAGGAAGGTAAAAAGGAAAAGGGTGAATTATGAGCTTATACAAGGAAGAAAAGTTATGAAGCTTAGATGTTTGGGATGCTTAGCTTGATCTCTCTGCTTGTATTTATAATGAAATTTGGGCTACGAAAATCTGTGAAACTTAATTGGAGCGGTTAGTTGGTTTTTGCTTCAATTACTATGGCAATAAAATTCTTTGTTTTTTGCTAACAAAAGGAATTAATGCCAGAGATTTATCTTTAACCCGGGTTGCAGTCTGCTCTATTTTGCTCATGACAAATGTAATCACAATTTCATAACAGACGAGAGTACTTGGCTTTTTGTTCTGGTCAGTGGTAAGTAAAGTGGAGTACAACAAGGCTGGGTCCAATTTGATATGGACAACAGATCATATTAAGAAAAATTAAGTGAAATCGAAAATAAATCATCTCAATGTTAACTTTTTTATCAGAAAATAAACTATGCCACAGAAACAAGAAAGAATATAATTAAACTACATTAGAAAAGGAAATAACAGGTGCTTAGACAGTAGTGTTACAGTATAAAGCCGTGGTTGTGGACTCGAAAGTAAAGAAATTTCTTGCGGCAGTGTTTCCTATAAAGTACAAGTCGACCTAAGTTTTTTATGTACTTTTCTTGGTGACATATTGGACCTGAATTTTTGGACAATCTTATTAACATACTTTCGTTTTGTTTGTCTTTTGGATGTGGATAATGGCTACTGTACATGGATCTCACGAACTTGGGTTCTTCAAATTACTTGGTGGTGGCATCATTTTGTTATGGGGTTTGGACTAAAGTAATTAAACAGTAAATTTTGGCAAATGAACTAAAGCACGGAAGTTAGTAGCAAACGTGACTTTGGTATCTTAGTAATAATTAGAGTGACATGAATCTAGGCTTTACATATGAAACAAGGAAAAATCAAGCCCGTTGATAACAATAGAGTTACTTTCGTGTATTTACCATAGTTTTATCCTAACATTTGTATAAATTAACCGCCAGTAGCTGATTCTTTTATTGATAATATGTGATCAAATATATCACCCTACTTAAAAATGTTTTCCTCTAATAGGAGAAACGCACATAAATTATCCATATGTGGTACTGGCTATCAATCCTTACTGCAATTACTTCTAAAGACTTTTAGATGTGTTTTTACTGAATGAAGCTTTGGTGTAATTTCCATGACTAACTTATAAAGAAATTATAGAATCAAACTTACACTTATTCAGAGCTACAAAAACGTTAGGGAAAAAAAAGGTCCATCAATATCACCACACTAAATTAATCATATTTTTTTGTGGGGGGGGGGGGGGGGAACTGAACAAGTAAATGATTCTCGGGTATGAACTTAAATTCCAACGCCAAAAGAAACCACATTTGGATGCTTCAGTGAATCTCAACTGCTATTTGACATTGGCCATATGATCAGAGTCCCTAATTAATCAAATTGGCCCCAATTAACACCCTTTACGTTTTTCAATCCTAATTTAAGGTAAGTAACATGTGAAGATAGTGTGTTTGGATTGAGATGATTTGAAAAAAAAATAATTTATTTCACAAATTTCAGTTATCTTTTTATCTTCTTAATCACTTTTTTATCTCACATACATCGCATCACAAATAGTGCTACAGTAATTATCTCAAATAAATCATGCAAATGAACTCCTATCCAAACAAGTGTTTTATCTCTGGCTCATCCTGGCCTCATCTATAGAAGCTTGCCAAGACCTTTCTTTTTTCCTTTTTTTTTTTTTGGGTTCTGATGTTTATCCCAGCCTTATCTTTAGCAGCTTGGCAAACCCTTTGTTCTTTTGTTTTCTTGGGGGTTTTTTTGGGGGTTGGAGGGGAGGGGTAATGGGGTTATGACACGTGTCCGTTTTTTTTTCTTTTACGACATGTGTGTATTGACTCAGTGACTTGAGTTCGTAAACGTTATTACATATGTCTGCAGACGGATTATGTTTACCTGGACATGACACTCTGTTTATTGCATGTAAGGCCATCATCAATTGTGAAATAACACAAAATGGATTCTGAGATATTCTTCTCTAGTAAGTAGTAACCAGATACTGTTCTTTTTCCTCCTACAAAGAGCCTTATTTGAGGTCCAGATTATTTTGACATCCACGTACCATATCAAACTGAACATATGCACTAGTTCTCAAGGACGTAGATAAATTAAGCTCAGAAATTCCTAAAAAATTAGTGTTGCGAGGTGGAAAAGAAGCACTTAATTCCAATTAAAATGATTACAAACACGAATGGTTTACTGTCTAATTAGGTTTTGAATTTTTCGGACGGACGGTTTTGACTCTTTCTTTATTTCTGGTTCAAGGCTAAAGGGACAATATGTCCTAGGCAGGACTATTGTCGTTGGACGTGATCAGGCCGTTCAGTACATCAAAGAAGTTGCACTTTCAGTTTTTGGATTAAAATCTTTTGCCTGCAATCCCAATTTATGTCGACCAGAGAACACTTTTCTTTGGAAACCAAAAGGGCCTTGCTTCTTGATCGATCCGGACCACAAAACTGTGCTTGTTATAAGAGAATTGGATACATTAGGCGTCAAGGAGAATTGGGTAGAAAGTATAGTACAATCGTTTATATTTGACCAAACTGTGCAAGACCAAGGTTGGCAGTTGTTAATACAGATCCAAACATCCTGTACTCAGGTTCTAAACTTGATAAGGAGACAAGCCCCTAGAGACATAGGCTTTGCAGCACACCTAGAGGGTATCAGAGACTTTAGCTCAATATTTAGGAAATGCTCATTTGATAGGTTATCTTGTGACCTTAACAGAAAAAATGTAAGACTGAGTGAACTTGCAACACATATGCTTTTTGATGAGGAATTTCTAGATCTTCAGCGTCTTAGTACACTTTTTGTATAGTTCAAGATGAGCCCTTGTTCACATAGTGTAATGTTTTTTTACTACCAATAAATCTCTCTATCGTTTCTGGAAAAAAAAAAAAAAAAAGGAGCAGGTTTCCAGTTAAGTTGATTCGGAATTCGTTCAAGTACATGAGCTTGAAGCCCAAATTTATTTGGCAAACTGGCAAGTAAATCTTGTATTCTTTGGAATTGACCAAAAAGAAAATGAAAAAAAATAGCGAAAGGGTCCAACCTAACAATGTAATGTTGGAGGAGTAAGACATGTTCAAGTACAGTTTCAGAAGACGAGGGTGGTTCCAACTTCTTGACAAAGACATCCAAAACCTAATTCACATGCAAGTTAAACAAAGCTCTGAAAGAAATACAAGAACTGATTTTGCAGCTTAGAACTTTCTTTTTCTGCTAGAATACCATATGGATATTGGACTGCATAACATGTTAGAACTTGCTTATCATTGGAAAGGGTGCTGTTCAATTAATGAGCTCTATTCTAGTTCCATACAAGAATTATATAGCTTGATTCTAGATTTGTTGCATGTTCTGGCTGAAGCCTGAATGCTACTGTAAAACTTACTAATTTCAAGAATTTCATGAGCTGTATTCTAACAAAACAATGGTGAAAGAAAATGACGAGGCATCCTAATAGATACATGTTACATAAATAGCCATGAGCTAAAGAAGAACGTGGGAAAAAAATGAAGACATAATGACAAAATTCATCCGGACCTCATAGGGTAAACTTCAAAAGTTATTGAATCTTTCTACAAAATAGGGAATGCTGCCCTCCTAGTTTAATCAAATTATTAGCAATTATCCTTCCAACATGGATGTAGAGTCTTTGATGTGTAATAATACTATGCCCTTTTGGACCCAAAGGAAAAAGGGAAAAACTTTTGTACCCAAAAAGAAGAAGAAGAAGAAGAAGATGGGAGAACACATTTGTGTTTACAATAGAAATGTGGACTGTAAAAATCTAAGCCACCTCTAAGTGCATGTAAAACCTCATTCAAATCCTGAGCATTTTCAACACGCAAATAGGAGGAATGAAATGTGATACATTATTGATGCCTTACTACTCAAAATCCAAACGTCCTGGTGCATAAATTCAGATAACACTCGTGTAATTTCTACCTTGGCTAAATTGTTTCAGTCAAAGATCAAGTGGAGAACTGAAACTGCAGGTATCTCACGCTTCATTCCAGGAAACTAGCAAAGAAAATGTAAAAACAGTCTCGAAGCCAAAAATTGGTTTTATCATTCACTATGAAGTATAGTTAGTTTACATGCAAAACATAAAATGTGTAGGCTTCTGAGTTTCACCACAGAGATTTGAGCATATATGAAGAGGGGAAATTAATAACATAGTATGCGAATAAAATGTCATTTGTGTATCATTTACGTAGATATCACATGCCCAAAATGAATACTAAGATCCCGCATACAACTCATTTGTGTGATTTCGTCTTAAAGGGCATTGCCTATTTCATCTGCATAAAATGCAACTTAACGTTAATTTACTAAGTGAATTCCATCTACAGCTGCTTTAATTGAGTATAACTTGGTGCGTATCGAAACATAAAATTTTTTGTCAGAACAGAATAACGAATTGATTCCTCTTGCAGAGAAAAACTAAATGGCAAGTGTTGACATCTTCATTCAATCACCTATAGCAACAATATATGAGAACTGGAATAACATCCCAATTCATAGCTAAGAAAGAGGAACAGATTTCAATGGACGTCTACGTTTTGTTGTTTTTTTTGGGCAAAACTGGCAAAATAGGACTTTTAACGTAAGTTTCCAAAGCTGGAATCCATGATTATGGCTGACTAATTTGATGTAAGCTACCAGTTGAAGCTCGAACAATAGGAATCATCAGTTGGTTGGCATTTGGAACAAAATGGTCAACCACCTGAATAAGAAATTGGTAACTGTATTATGTTTTAAGCAAGAAAATGTTTGGTACGATTATTGGTGTAAGGAATCTTTTTGGTACAATTGGAAATTTCTTCGAATTGGATTAGATCCATATGCTGGTTCTGCAACTCACGTACTTTGTATGTACGACAACAAGCAAGGTCTAAAGAAATGAAAGCTTTTGGCAATTGATAGCCTAGATGATAAATTTGTGTGTTGTTTCCCTTATTGTAGAAGCTTATTGGATTGAGCAAAGATCTCTTTGACCACATATATCTTCAACTAATACAAGAAAAACACAGGCTGGAGGAGGAAGGCCGAGAGAGGAATAGCCTCCTTGAAGTGCATCCATATGTATTCATCTATAATCAAACTCGGCAAGGTAGCAACAACTTTTGAGGAAAGCAAAAATGTATATGGGAAAAATTGACAGCAACAAAATGACCCTTGTCCTATATTCTGCTCATATTCTATGATACCTCTAGAGCATAGTATTTTAATTTCAGAGAAAAGACATCCATTAATTAGCACATTCCATTCTATATATATATATATATATACACACACACACTTCACAGCCAATTAAGTGGAGAATAATTCCTACGTGGAAAAACTTTGTAAATTCTTGGGTGAACTATAAGATAAGATAGAGATGAATTAAGCTATGGAGTAGTAACCAACTTTAGATTTTGCAAACACCAAATTTTTTATTAGTATGATTGAACAAGTTGCAGTAAACAAATGGTGGTAGAATTAGTCTCCAGAGCTACACTCAACATTGTCATCCAACAAGCACTTGAAAGTTCCATCCTTGAGGGTAACAAGAAACAACTAAAAGTGGAATTTTCACAAATCAAAATGCAAGGCACGTTAAAGGACAATTACAACTAAATGTACAACATGGATATGATTATGTTGCCGATCCATGGTTTTTCCCTTACCTTTTTATTGACCTAATACTGTGGCCGCCCCGTCGAGTTCCCTGTCCATCCTCCACCCTCCATTGGAAGCTGACTATTAGGCATATTTATCGGCAGATTGAAAAAGGGAAGCCCTAAAGATGGATCAGAAAATTGATTATTTGAGCCACCAGCACCAGCACCACTACCCCCACTGCCACCGCCACCACCGGAGGTCTGAGACGCCGCAGGTGGCTGCATCTGAAGTGAGTGATCATCTTCATCCAAAGGCAGCCTTTCATATGCTACGTTAGTGAAAGAAGCAGCAATAACAATCACAGGTCCAGAAGCAATCAAAGCTCCCACAACATTTCCTCCAACAACTTGACCTTGTCCACCAGCCAAATATATGGTCAAACTGGTGGCACCCGGTGGAGCTGGCGGTGGAAGGAAGGAGCCCGACAATGATAAAATCTCGAACCGGCCATGTAACGTCACGACTGAGCCCGCAGCAGCCGGTTGCCTCAAGCTCACATTGTTGACGGTGCCACTACCACTCAATATGCAAATACCTCTTTGCCTTTTTCTAGCATACGTTGCAACTGATTCAAACACATCACAGCCGCTGCTGACCTCTAATATATGTGCCCGGAGCGTGTTGGCGCTCTCTCGGGTGATTATCACCGGGGGTTTAGGCTTGTTTTTGGAGCCAGGTGGCCGGCCTCTTGGCCGACGAGCCACAACATCGCCTGAGCTTGTGTTTGATGTGACCAGCTCTAGACCAGCTTGGTGAGATTCATCGTCGTTCTCGCCGGAAAATTGGTTCCGATTGCTGTCATCTTCGGAGTTGGCCACTGGTCTTTGAAGCTGGAGATCAGGCCTGTGAAGCTGAGTAACAAAGCGAGAAGCTGAGCCTAAGTCTAAACCAGCCATACACAAGAACAAAAGAGAACAGGAAAACAAAGTACTAATTAAGTAAAATAAAGTATGATTAAATTGGAAAATTATAAGTAACAAGTATAAAAACTAATTAGCGATTTTTTATGTGGCTATTAAAGAAGAATAAAGCACAGCAATTCAAACCCTAGAGCGAATAGAAAACAAAAGGAATCGAGTGGAGAGAAAGGAAGGTATGAATGAAGATGAGAGAGAGAGAGAAAGTGGCAGATCGATGCAGCTATTGTCACAGCCAAAAGTATGCATTTGAGGATATAAAATATGTCGAAATGTTCATTTTTGAATTAAGAGGCACATTATTTCTTAATCCTGCTTTTTGTAAAAGGAGAATAGTATAATTTAAGATGAAGAAACTTACAAGGAGATGATAGGTACATATAAATAAGGTCGTATGCAGGTAAAGTTTCGTGTATCAATACATAAATAAAGATGTATAAATGTGTACGAGCGTGCGCACACACTCGCGTATCCTTGTTATTAGTAAAAGTCTAACGACGCGCATGCCATTTATTAATTTTCCCTTTGTCATAATTAACTTTGTAATGAGTATTTTTTTTCTTTTCTTTTTCAACTTTGCAATAACTTAGAGTAGAACACATAGTACTATATGATAATTCCTTTAAAGCAAGAAGTTTGATTATTTCCCTCTTAAACAACTTTATAGAGTTTGGTCCGGCTTCCCTAGGTATCATGGATAACATTCCTTGCAATTGTTTGATATTTATTCTTAATTTTAGGCACTTTATTTCGTCCTAGTGAGATTAAATATAGCTTTTCTCTTAGAGAATTAGTACAAGGACATTTCTGGTAAGCGATTAAAGAATTTGTGTGTCTACCTGGCCGATGGAAAGATGTATGCAATGGAAAGTACATGAATCTAAAATATAGTAAGTATTTTCATCAATTGATTTTTCAAGAGGTGCAAAATGCAAGTTCTTGTAGGATGATTTTCACAATGCAGTAACTCTTAAATGCCCTTTGCATTTTGCAGTTAACATTTTCATCCATTGCAACAACTCATAGTGAAGGGTTATGATATGTAAAAGTGTCTAGAATTTTGTATATGAAGGCGAGCCTATGTTTAACTTTTTTTGCTTTTACATTTCTCTTTTTTTTTTTTTCGTTTTTTAGTGGTTTTCTAGAGAAGTAACTAGGTGTCCGCTGTAGTTCAAGATGGCAGAGGACCTTCTTAGTTCACACCATGAGTTAGAACATGCATGTTATTTTTGCTGGAAACGAGGTCTTGGTAGTCAAAATAATTCCACTTGTTTTTGGCTGTTGGAGCTAGCCTTCTCCAGTTGCTACTTTGCTTTTCCTGCCTTCAATATTCTTACTGGGTCAGTAGGAATAAAGTTGAGATCTAGTGTTGGTATGGAGATCATCATGACAATTGAGTTCAGAATATAGAAGATTATGGATGTAATCAAAATGAATGGGCGAGAAGTACATTTCGTACATTATTTAGGTCAAAGAAGGCTGCCTTTCACCTTATTAGCCTTTGGTAAGGAACAATTGTACGCCCTTTTTTTTTTTTTTTTTTGATACTTGTCTCTAGGAAAAGAGCAAACACCGTTGCAAATTATAACACAAAATTATTTAGTTTGATTGATATGAAGTTCTGATAATATTTGTACCGTGTATTCTAGGAGTGCTACACCCTCAAACATGTCCTCGCGCCCTCCTCCTTTCTCCTCCTCTTCCTCTTTCAGCAAAAAGAAAAAAAGTTGTGATGGAGCGAAAAGAATTCATAGTACAAAATATTTATTTTAATTTTTTAATGTAAGTGGAGGTCTCAAGTCCGACATATTTCACTTACATTTCCTTCTTTGCTCATGGTATAAAATACAAATACACACTAGGTATTAAGGGGTAGAGCCATTTGAGGCCATAGAAGTAAACAATAACAAATGCAATTATTGTGAAATGAAAGGCAAGATTCGCCATCCCTTTTAGTCTTTTCATATGATCTCCGATTGAAAATTTTAATTTGAAGTATGAAATTTGTTCACTAATAGAATTAAGTCATGCATTGTAACTTACATTGTCACATCAACTTTGTAAAGAAATGAAAATAATATATTCACTATTTTTATATACGGCATTGTTTTGTCATTTAGGTACCAAAGCTTATCTATTTATCAGTAACAATAAACGCAGCGCAGCCAAGAATTCCATATTTTTGTTTTCCTTTAAGCTACAAGCTATCAATATGCTTACCTTGTACCTGATTGGAAGATTGATGAGGGGATAACTAAAATCTTCTTATAATTCATGGGGCTAAACAAAAATTGCCAGAAATTTTCAATTAGGCCCCTCGAGATTTTGTTTATTAATTTGTTGCTGATTATTTCCATCCACAACATTTGGTGGACTGCTGATACAAAACAAATAACCTAAAAACTAGAAAAGGTTATAATTGCAGGCACAAAAACAGAAAAGGTTATAATTGCAGGCACAAAAACATTTTTTTTTATTTAGCTGCCAACCCTCCATGGATAGTATACAAAATCTTTAAACTGTTTGGTTGGCAGGATATAACATTAATAAAGCTCTGAATCTGGTCAAAATTAAATAAACAAATAAAGCGCCGAATTAATAGAGTAGTTTTTCGTAATAAAAAATCCATTCTACCGAAAAAGATGGCATTGCAGCCAAGAAAAAAAAAACATTTTGGAAAATGGAGGGGAGGCAGCCTAATATACCTATTCGGGAAAGTGTTGACAATTTTTAAAAAATAGTTAGAATTAGTGTTCAACCGTTGACGAAAATTGTTTATATATTAGTATTACTTTGAGGCTAAGCTACGGCAGAATATTATTCAGACTCCCTAATGTATGAATTAGTCCTTGACAATTGAACTACCTTATACGATCATATATTAAGCAACTGAACTATAGAGACAAACTAAGCATGAAAAGTTTTTATATTATTAGAGGGAACTGGTTTCAAATTAGGTTCTTATGTTTCATAAATGAAATGTGTATGGGATTGGATACTATAGACCATCCCAAGTAGATGCGAGATTTACTTTTGGAACCTAGTTTGGAGTTAAAGAAAATGGAAGGTTATTAATTAATTGAATTTGCAAGTTAGGACAAGTCATAGGCTAGCCAATGATCTTTAGTCCTTGTGTATAAATTGTCTGCACCCTCAATTGGCTGAAATGACGAGTAAATTCCATCAGAAAGTTCATTGAAATCAATAAAATCACCAGAGAAAGCATCAGATAAGTTTCAATTGGCATTGTCTGAAGAGTTTTGATTAGCATAAAATCAAAGTCCACGGTCAAATCCTTTCATGGCAGACAATGTTAGTGAAAAAGATCATTTTGACACTCAGGCTCTTAATCTGAATATTATAACATCATATACTTAGAATTGTCAAATCGAGTCCTCCAATGAAACCGCAAGCTTGAAGCAACATTTCCAAGAAAAAGTTTGTCACACATTATTTTATACATTGTCCATGTAAAGTTCTTTTACACGAGCATTTGCATATGTATATTATTTGTGTAAAAATTAAATTTCAAATTTAAAAATAAATTTCGTGATACACATCCAATACTACTCGTGTATACACTGACAATACATTTATTGGTGAAAAGATTAGTCTGAATGATGCAAATTGGTAAATTTCCATGGCAGTTAAAAATATAGCGGACCCAAAATATGGTAAAAACGCGGTTCCTGCTACAACAAAACATTAATGAACATGATTTGTGGGGAGAAAATATTAACTTATTATGTTAGAGTACCAGTATCAAAACTAGCATATGAATCCTAACTTCATGAGGAAAGTAATGTCCAACATGTTTCATAGTATCTCAGGAATAATCTGCGGGTAGCATTCGAGCTTACATATTAGTATGGCTTCTTAACTTAGGAAAAAAAATGTTAGACAAGAAACTGCCATCTTATCCATTTTCTATCTATAGGGGAAAGGCCAAAATCATTATGTCTAAGAATGTTTGAGGACTTTATGGGTCTTTTTGATGTTTAAAGACTATCCAGGATCCACAACCTTTTACACAGGTTTCGATATAATTTACCCTTCTAATTTTTTGCATAATTACGTTATTCCGATTTGGAAGCAATAACAAAAGCTAGAAAAGGACCAAAAACCCAAAAAATAAAAATAAAAGAAGAAGAAGAAGAAGAAGAAAAGGAAATATACAAAAGCAGCAGATGGCAACATTTCAATCTAGACATAGTATTTGCCTAACGCGTTCGACATCATATTTTGAGTTATTAAAGTGAAACCGTTAACAACTTTTCTCTTTTCATAATTACATGCAATCTTAGCTGCTGAATTTCTTTACAAAGATCCCCATTGATCCAAGAGGTCCCTGGGAAGAAGTCTTGTATGTGTGAAATTGGGGAACCCAAAAGTTTTTGCAAAACCTGGAGTGTAGGCGGAAGCTGTGGAACGGAATCCATCTCCACCGTCAATATATATAAGATTTAACTTATTTGTAAACATTTCTTTCGCTCTTTTCCTTTCTTGGGTAATTATTTCAGGTCAATGTTGTTTAGTTTGAGTTTATTGTACTTCCTCTTTACTTCCACACGTGCAAACCTCCAACTCCGTTGAATTTCTTGACTTCAATGTAGGATTAAACTAGATCAATGACCCCCAATGGACACAAGAGATGGCCAAAGTCTTCTTTTGCCATCCATTGAGCTTGAATATTTGTGTTGCACAGGTTGTTCATGGGTGATTTTCCTTCAACTTAAGGTCATAAAAGGAGGTTATTCAGTAGCCATCGTAGCTTTAATTTATAAGCGTTTTGTGTATCACGGTCATTAGTCAAGTCATGACGGCTATGGACATGCTTTGAATTGTTCAAACATCCTTAGACAAATTTGGAAAGCATTCGATTTCTCAATCTGGTTAATGAAAATTGAAAAAGAAATCTTTGCGTCTCATGGGCAAACAATTAAGAGCGAGAGAAAGATGAGAAAAGCAGAAAGAAAATG